GTACCACACCCAGCTAATTTTTTCAATAATTTACAGAGATGGGGTCTCTCTATATTTCCCAGGCTGGTCTTGAACTCCAAGACTCCAGTGATTTGCCCGGTTCAGGCAACAGCCTAGGCAACATAGAGAGGCCCCATCTCTACAAAAAATTTAAAATCTACTCAGCAATTTTCAAGTGTACACTATTCTTACCATAGTCACTGTGGTACACAGTCACTCTCCAGCTGTTTTCCTTCTAACTGAACTTGTGCAAGTGACCAACAGCTCCTGTCTCCCCAACCCTGCTGCAGCCCCCAAAGCCACCAAACCACCCTCTGCTTCTGTGAGATGCACTTTTTTAGATTCCACATTCATGAGATCATGCAGTGTTTGTCTTTCTGTGCCTGGTTCATTCTGGGTAGGAGGCTCAGGGCCGATTTATGTTATTATGTCCTCCAGGTTCATCCGCGATGTCACAGATGACATCGTTTCTTTGTGGGTGTGTCTGTGTGTGTGTGACATTTTCTTTATCTGTTCATTTCTTCATGAACACTCAGGCTGATCCTATGGCTTCCTGGCGGTTGTGAGTCATGCTGCCATCACCATGGACCTGCATGTGTCTCCTCAGTGTAGTGACTCGAATTCCTTCTGGTATATGCCCTGAGTTGCTGGATCACATGGTGGTTCTATTTTTAGTTTTTTGAGGAACTTCTGTTCTGTTTTCCATAATGACTGTACTAACTTAGATTCCCATTAACAGTGTAGAAGGGTTCCCTTTCGTCCACATCCTCACCAACACTTACCTTTTGTCTTTTTGATACAGCCATTCTAACGGATATGAGCCGATAACCCACTGTGGTTTTCATGTGCATTTTCCTGATAATTAGTGATGTCACACACTTTTTCATATACCTGTTAGCCACTTGTATGTCTTCTTCTGAGAAGCTTCCATTCCATTTCTTTGCCATTTTTTAAAAATCTGGTATTTGTTTTCTTGCTATTGAGTTGAGTTCATTATACAGTTTGAGTATTAACCCTTTATAAGATGCTGCATGGTTTGCAAATTTTCTTCCATTTCCATGGGTTGGCTCTTCACTCTTGAGTGTTTGCTGAGCAGAAGCTTTTTAGTGTGATTTATTCCCATTTGTCTTCTTTCTGCTTTTGTTGCCTGTGCTTTTAGGGCCATATTAAAAAAAAAAATCATTAACTAGGCCAGTGTCATGGAACGTTTCCCTTTGTTTTTTCTTAGAAGTTTTACAGTTGCAGATCTTACATTTAAGTCTTTAACCCATTTTGAGTTGGTGTTTATAGATGGTGTGAGATGAGGGTCTGATTTCATTCTTCCACGGAGGGACATCCAGTTTCCCCAACACAGTTGACTGAAGAAGCGCACACTTCCCCAGTGTGCATTCCTGGTGTCTTTACGGAAGATGGATTGGCTGCAGCTGCGGGATTTCCCGCTGGGCTCTGTTCCCTGCACTGGACTGTTTGTCTGTTTTTACACCAGTGCCACGTTCTGGTTTTTAGTATTTTCTTCTTCTGCTTACTTCGGTTTATTTTGCCCTTTTATTAGATTGTTAAAATGAGAGCTTAGATTATTGATTTGAGGCTTTTCTGTCTTCAGATGTGTGTGTTTCGTGCTGAGGTTTCCCTCTCAGCACTGCTGTAGTCACGTCCTGCAATTTTCGATATGTTGTGTTTTTATTTTCATTCAGGTCAATGTATCTTTTGATGTTCCTCTAGATTTCCTCTTTGACCCACGGATTGTTCATGTATGTGTTTCATTTCCAAGTGCTTGGAGCTTTTCTTATCTTTCCATGATTGATGCTGGTTTGATTCAGCTGTGGTCAGAGAACATACACTATGGTTTCAATTCTGTTAAACTGATTAAGGTTTCTTTTATGGCCAAGGATATGGTCTATCCTGGTACACATTCTCGGTATCAGGGGCCCCCTGCCGTGTCCCACAGGTCTCAGGGGCCCCATTCTTCAGCCTGTTTTCCCTCCTGGCACTGGTGACAGCAGAGCTGGAGGGTGGGGCAGGGCCTGGGGACAATGGGGGTTGGAAGAGGGGACAGAAAAGCTCAGATTCTGCCTCAAATGGTGGGTGGGGCTGCAGGGTTTGTTAATGCATGGGATGGGGGTGGGACAGGAGTCATGCTGGTCACATATGTCAAACGTGGGTGTCTGAAATCCCTGTGGTGACAGCTATAGGCTGTGGCCTCTGGGATCTGGAGTGCAGAGTGTGTTCTGGGCCAAGGCACATCTGAGGATGGTGGTCCACAGACCCCCTGGGCAAGTGCAATGGGGAGGTAGGTGGGAGCCCTGGTGCAGACGGGGTGGAGGGAGGTGGGTGGGGGTCCCAGGTGCAGATGGAGGTGGGAGGGGGAGGGAAAGGTGGGAGGAAGAGAGTGGGAGGAAGAGAGTGGGAGGGAGAGGTGGGGTCCCCAGGTGCAGATGAGGGGCACAGGGGAAGGTGGGTTGGAGTCCCAGGTGCAGATGGGGGTGGGAGAAGGAGGCCAGTGAGAGCCCCAGGTACAGACAGGAAGGGAGGCAGGTGGAGGCCCCGGTGCAGATGGAGTGGGAGGGGGAAGGTGGGGGGTAGGTGGGGGGAGGGGGGAGGCGGGGGGGCCCAGGCCCTCATAGGATGACTGTGTGTGTCTCTTCTACCTCTCCCATTGCATGGGCTAAAATGTGCTAAATCTCCAGCACTGGACGGGACAGAGGGAGGGACCATGGGCCAGAGCTCTGCCTGTTTTTGGAACACAGTGTGGGGAGGTGCAGGTCACAGTGTGGGCTCTCCATGCTGAGGAACGGCCAGATGCCTGTGGTCAGAGTGTGGGTTGCTGCAGCCTCCACTTCAGCCGTTTATTTCCTAGTAGCCGCTGAGCTGCCCCGTGGACTCTGGGCAGATGCCAGTGTTCGCTGGGAAGGACGGCAGCAGCCGCGGAGGTGGCAGCAAGGCCAGGGCACTTTGCCGACAGCATGGACGGGCAGGTGCCCAGGGACAGACAGAGGGCGGCTGACGCCTCATTCACCCTGGCCTACCAAGTGGTCTGAGGCTCTGGGAGCTGCTGGCTGGAGTAGGGTGGGTCTTCTGGGGCCCCAGGCACTGAGTCCCAGGTGACCTCCACTACACAGGATGGCCCCTCACTCATGCTGCCCTTGCAATGAGGAGAGGCGCTGGCTGCAGCTCGCTGGCCTGTGTGACTGATGGAGGCTGACAGCCTGGAGCCCCAAGCACCCCTGGCAGGAGCTGACCCACTTTCCCGTCCCTGGGCTGGAAACCTTGACATAACAGATGGCTGCAGGGCCCTGCTGTCCCTCCAGTAGGGAGGAGATGTTTTTAATTAAAAAGGAGACACTGAGCTCCAGAATGGCCACAGTGAGATCCAGTCCATGCATGCTGGTCCGTCAGCACCCATAGGTGAAAGGGCACAGCCAGGCTTATCTCAGGGTGTCCATGTGAGCACAGAGGTGCTTAGCAGGGGCCACGCCATGCATTGGACTGATATTCTCCTCTTCTTTCTGAGATTTTTCTTCAAGAAAGACCTACTTAGAATGAGTCACTGAAGCGGTTGCGTGAGCTGTGCTGTCCAGCAGAGCTGTCCGCAGTGCCAGGAATGACCCCTCTCTGTGCTTCCCCCCGGCCCCCTGTCAGCTGCTGCTGCCCACAAAAAGCTGTTTGGCACTTTAAATGTGTGTTGTGAATTTTTAGCTTTAAATTTAAAAAGCCACATGTGGCTGGTGGCTATCGTGCTGCACAGTGAAGCTAGAGAGAGCACTGATGTGTGAGGATGAGCTTCAGAATCTTTGTGCTGTGTGAAGTCCTTGTCACGTGCAATGCTGAAGTCACTGAGTGTGTTGATGAAGTTACCTGTAAATGCGTTTTTAAGTGCGGGTATAGATAGCGTGTTACTTTGTCAGCACAGAGTTGCATCCGTGGTGTGGTTCCCGTCCAGCCCCCGACACCCATGGCTGCTCTTTAAAGATTCTCCTTACATGCCACACAGGCAGTTGGAATGGGCTTTGCTTCTGTGCTTTATCTTTGTGTTTTTCTTTTCGCATATTTTTTAACAGAACTATTTTATTGAGAAAAAAAAAAACCTTTGCCTCAACTTTTAACCCATAGTGTCTTCTGTGTGAACTGGCTGAATAAAGGGCGGTGTCCAGGCAGCTTGGTTCTGGGGGGTGGGGCTTCACAGGGCTCTGTTCCTGGCGGATTTTGAGAGGCAGCCACCTCTGTGAGGTGCTGCCCTTTGGTGACGGACTCAGCAGAGTCCAATACCTCGGAGCAGGGTTTCCACGGCACCGCACAAAGTCGCCCTAACTATCCCACAAGTCCTTCACTTTCACCGTCATCATTCTTTGCCAGTAAATCATAAATTGAGGCCTTACTTTGCCCAGTGGGCCCAGTCAGCCTGTTGAATGACGGTGTGCAGCAGGGACATGACAGCAGCAGACAGCACTGTGTGGGCAGAAGGCACTTGCTGAGAGCTGCCAGGGACACCCAGCCATGTGGCAGCTTAGTTGAGGGAGATTAAATCACATGAAGCATGAGGGGATGAGGACGATGGGCTCGGGGCAGGAAGGGCCACCTCCCACACCTTGGCAAGGGGACTCTGGCATCCCACTACTGTGCATTGAGGCCACAGCATGAGCAAGGGGCAGAGCCGCAGGGCGCTGGGCCTCACAGAGGTGGCTCCTGCCACTCTCTAGCTGCTGAGAGAGGTGCTCCTGTGACCCTGGGCAGATGCAGATGTTGGCCAGGGGACGGGGTGGCCTGCCCAGCATCAGGAGCAAGGCAGCTGTGGGGCTGTGCCCAGACCCAGAGGCCCAAGGCCCTCCCCTGGACTCCTGCACACCTTGTGCCCAGCAGGCGAGGCCTGGTCAGCAGATGGCGGGTGGGCAACCCCATCCCTCTGCCACCTGGGAGGCCGGAGTGGTGGTGGCCCAGGATGCACGGATGTGCATGGGCTATGAGACTCTTCTCTCAGCAGCAGCTGTGTCTTCTCTCTCCAGGTGACGCCTTCTGGGCCCCGTCTGTCCTTCCTCACAGCACCCTGAGCGCCTTAAGCCACCACCCCCAGCCACATTTTGGCAGAAGGATGGAGTCCAAGGTCTCAGAAGGTGGCCTGAACGTGACCCTGACCATCCGCCTGCTGATGCATGGAAAGGTAAGAGGAGTGACCATTGGCACTGTAGGAAACGTGGCCATGGCAGACGGAGTGGGAGACCCACTGCCTGGGTCTTTGCATCATTTTTCAATTTTGTTTTAAGCAATCTCAAACTTATAAAGCAGTTACAGGTACAGGCCCTTTGAGACTCAATGCTACCCTGCTACCTTCTGCGTGTTTCCCACAATCAAGGACCTTCTCCAGCATAACCACACGCAGCCATCAGTGTCAGGACACCCGCAGGATGAGTTCCCAGCGTCGGGGCACTCGCGGGATGCATTCCCACCATCAGAGCACTCGCGGGATGCGTTCCCACCATCAGGAACCCGCGGGATGCGTTCCCACCACCAGCCTCCCCTGACCACACGCAGCCATTGGTGTCAGGGTACGCACCAGAGTGTCCCACCACCAGCCTCCCTTGTTAACGGCCACAAAGTATCTCCTGGCCCGCTGTCTTGAGTCCCTGCCTCCTGCAGTAGATCCCAGCTTTGTGCATTTGGCAGTTTTGGCAGTACGTGCGGGGCGCGGTGTGTGTGGGGCGCAGTGCATGTGGAGTGCCCATGCCTTGGTCTGGGTCTCCTGGCCATTGGCAGGAACACAGCAGCAGCTCCGTCCCAGGCTGTACCCATCGGCCGCTCCGAGGTGCTCTTCTCTCCCCATGATAGGAAGTCATGGACTTGGTCCTTGAAGCTGCGTCGATGTCCCACCTGTCCTCAGCCTTCCAGGGCCTGTGTTTCTATCCTCTGGGACTCGGGTTGCTGTGTTCCTCCCCGGCTCTTCCTTCCGTGACCACATGATTTGCTCTGATGCCCTTGTTGCCCCTTGCTGTCCCCGGGCCCAACGAGTCGCTGTTCCTGCAGCCCCATCCCCCTCTCTGCTGATCTTGTCCTCCCCGCCCTAGTCCTGGAGCCAGCGATTTCCCCAGTGGCTCCTGTGTGTGGTGGCGTGTTCTGGAAGCCAGGATGCACTGTGCTCCCAGGCTGCGCATCTGCAGAGCACTTCCTTCCACGTTCAGCTCCCTGTGGGGAGCCCCAATGCCAGCCCCACAGCACAGGGTCTGTCCAGCTCTTCCTGCCTCAGGTGTGTATCACAATGAAACCAACCGCCAGCACCTGTGTGTGGCCTCCTGCTGGGAGGAGGCTGGCAGAGGCTCTGGGCTTCAGCACCCGCAGCACTGCCACATTTCCTAGATTTCCAGAAGACACAGCCTCCTCCCTGGGGGAAAGTGGTGGTGCCCACACCCAGAGCATTCATTTCTGCCATGGAGACGGAAGGACCTGCCTCTCCCCCAACTGGGGGTGTCAGGAGCAAGGCCGCGTGGCAGATGGGGCTCTCCCTGAGGCCAGGTGCACGCCCCACTCCAGCATGGCAGCCACGCCACCCAGATGCCCTCTGTGGAGGAGGTGCCCTGATGATGGGGGCCCCCCCTTGTGTCCAGTGGCCTCTGCCTCCACGGTCCCCTCTGCACAAGCCATCCTCACGGCCTCACAGACGTCATCATCACTCCCCCTGCTTCAGGTGACAGGCCACAGTAGCACCCGCCTGTCAGCTCTGTCTCGCTGCCAGACAGGGAGTCACTGGGCCACTCGGTCCAGCAGGAAATGTGTGTCCCAAAACCGCCTCGGGCTCGCTGTCAGAACTGGGGCGGCATCTTCCAGCATTCCTTTTAACAGGCTGCCTTCTAAATAGGAGTCAGGAAGCCAGAGCACTGCTCTTTTCTTTAAGTCACACAATTGAAGGAGACTTTATTTTTCATGCATTTCTTCCAGGGTTTCCTGGAGACCTGAACTGTGTAGGTGATACTCCTGAGTTATTTATCGGGGGCAGTCAACTGCCCTCCCACAGGGCACCTAGTCAGAGGCAGCCCAGCTCTGGCCTGGTCAGGTGGGCACCGAGGAAGCCCCGGCTCAGGGCCTCTTATAGGCAGCCGAGCTTGTGTGCAACCCCCTGGCAGATTCTGAATTCTCCCCTCTCCACTGACACCAGGAGGGTGCCCTCTTCACTCACACCAGGAAGGAAGGTCCCTCTTCACTCACACCAGGAAAGTCCCTCTTCACTCACACCAGGAAGGAAGTTCCCTTTTCACTCACACCGGGAGGGTCCCTCTTCACTCACACTGGGAAGGTCCCTCTTCACTCACACCGGGAAGGTCCCTCTTCACTCACACC